TGCCTCGCTGGTTAACAGCCGTGTGTGTTCGCTTGGTTTTGTTTTTGTTTTTTTTAATTCCCTGTGTGAATCATGTGGGTTTCTGTGATTTCTCTTTTCTCATCACCATCCTGGTGTCCTCTGGCTCGCTTGGCTCTCGTGGTGTGTGGGGGGCATTCGGGTGCCCGATGAGGAGGTGGCCTCCCCCGCCGCCGATGACCAGCGTGATGGCTCCCCATTTAATAACATAGAATCATAGAATCATAGAATGTTTAGGGTTGGAAGGGACCACTAGTGGTCATCTAGTCCAACCCCCCTGCAGGAGCAGGGACACCGCTAACTAGATCAGGTTGCTCAGAGCCCCGTCCAACCTGGTCTTGAATGTTTCCAGGGATGGGGCCTCCACTACCTCTCTGGGCAACCTGTTCCAGTGTTTCACCACCCTCATTGTAAAAAAATTTCTTCCTTACCTGTAGCCTGAACCTACCCTGTTCTAGTTTAAAACCATTTCCCCTTGTCCTAACACTCTTCGTCCTGTGTCCATGAAGAACTTGTCGCAAATGGAAGAGGCTGGAGCTGACGGCCCGGGAGGCTGCTACCTGCCGCGGGTTGGGTAGGGGGCTCTCCCCCCAGGTTGCTGTTAGTGATGCAGGGCAGAAAAGAGCGGCCGCTGCTGGGCCGAGGGCTGCTGAATGCTCGCAGTGAAAACCGGGTCCTGGAGTCTTGGAGGAGCTGCCAGGCCCAGCTGGTCTCCTGGCCCGCTTCGCCAACGTTTTGGTCTGTGTGGTTCGTGTGGGGGCAATGCGTACTTGCACAGATATTTATGTTCCCTCTTTACCCCTGTTAGCCCAGGTGGCCTTCATAAATCACAAGAAGGGAGTAAGTTCAGATCCTTTTTTCCCAAAGTCCCTTTTGCTGTTGAGATACCAGGCTGAGGGGAATGGCCAGCAACCTACCTGTGATCGCTGCTCCTGGCTGCAAATTGCCATTTTCCCTCCTTCTGGTAGGAAGAGTGGGGAAGGGAGAAGCTCTTTGCCCATCCCCAGGGCACTCTCTTTCCATCACATTTCAGTTTACAGGTTGGACTTTCTCTTCCAGTATTGCATGGCAGGCTCAGTCTTAGGAACCAGACCACTACAGCTTGCTTCAAAGTTTGTTGATCCCCCTGTACTTACAAGACAAGCACCCACCCTGTCTTTACCTTCTGTTTGCCTTTGCTGCATTGATGTGTGCTTGGCAACAGTGACTTATCTCCTGTGACATGTCTGAAGAAAAGTGATTCTTCTGTTTCTTTGACTTTTTTAAACTTCAAGGTAAAAATCACCTTTGGCTTTTTTTTTCTTCTCCTTTGCATTTAGCTTTATTAGAAGCAGCTCCTGTTTCATTCTGTTCTTTCACGTAGTTCACGCTGATACTTTTTTTTTTCTGTTTCTCATGCACTGTTGCATTTATTAGCAGTATAGATACTACTCAGCAATGTTTGAGTTCCCAGTGCCTTACCTAGGAAGAAATTGAGACTCCTAAGCAGGTGCGAAGGGCTAATATCCTGGGCCATTTCAATTCCCATGGTCAGATGCAGTCTAGTATTTTGTGTTCTATTTTTGTGCCTGTCGGCTAACAAGTGGATTGCCTGTGTGCTCAAGGTCTTTCAAAGATTGCTTTTCCCTTTGCTTATGGAAGAATGCTTGCAACATTAGGAACTGGAGGTTATTGTTTGCATGCCAACAGCCTCTTTTCCAGGATTACCCGAACTGTGGATTGGAGTGACAAAAAATCTCCCTACAGAGGAAAAACAGCTCTCAGTTGCAGCAAGGAGTTGCTATTTTGGAGTTGTGCACATGAAATGCCAGTATGATGAAATGTGATGCTCCCTTGGATTATGGCTCTACAGTGGAATCCAGTTCCTAAACACTAGCCTATTCAAAAAATAAAAATGAATAGCCTTGTTTATTAAGCCGTTCAAGAACTAAAATGCTGCTTGCAAAGCATGGTGTATTTGATCAACTGAAAAGTCTACAAATTTTTGCTTAGCAACAGGGTTTGTTAACAGAAAGAAATGCGACCAGCAGAAGGGTAAGTAGTGCAACAGCCTGATTCTTTGTATTTTAATCTGGATTATTACAGAAGCAGCTGGTCGTTCTTTTGACATTTCTACTGATTCTGGATCACATACCTACCCTGGATCACCACAGCGAGAAAGTCAAAGTGAGAAGCTTTGAAAATATGTTCCCATATTTTGCCTAAGTATGCGTAGAATTGATGTTTAGATACTTTTGGTATTCTTTGATACAGGGACTGCCAGATTTGAAAAAACTCTCTACCGCCTCTTCTCCCCTTTGATCGAAACTTGGCTTTCAGTGGTGATTGAGTAACTCTAGTGGTAAAACTTACATTTTCTAAAAGTGTTAAGAATTTCTGTAGTGGTGACTTTTTTTTCTGCTATCTCCTACTTAGCAACTTGATGCTTACTTTTCCTGAATTTCAGGGAAATGAAAAGACTATGAAATACTGTGACTTGACTGTGCAGCAGTAAAAACAAATCTGTTTAGACTCAAAATTTACTGAAATATTTTGTCAAAAATTAACAAATTTTTTACATATGAGTCACTTGTGAACTGTTATTAGAGCTGCCATCATATTTTTGTATCATTAGTAATTTACTATCTTTTATAACTATTTTAGGTAATGGGAAGTTTGAAGCCATGGCTGGAAAACTGAAACTTTACTGCTTTGATGGAAGAGGCAAGATGGAGTCAATTTGCTGGTTGTTAGCTGCAGGTAGGGTCGAGGTTTGTTTTAGTGTTTTAAACTTAAAGCTGCACAGTGGTAAGCTTCTCTTTGAGGCAGATCGCAGGTTATTAACTGAAAAAGAAAAGGCATCCCAAGACGCAATAGTAAATGAGCATTGGCTGTTCAGTATAATTAAACACTCTTACTTCAGGCACACAAAAGTATGGCTTCAAGTGACATGTCTTCTGAGCAATGACACTGTAAACCAGTTTCTTGCTCAGTGCAAGAATGCGTAATGCTTAATTAAGCATTCAATTACTGACCCAGAGCTGTTGAGCTGAATGATAGATGTGCTCCTGGCACAACAAGTATTATCTGTGCCAAGTAAAACAGCAACATACTGACTTTCTCTAGTCTTTCTGGCTTCATCTGGATGCTCACACAAAGACTTTTCTTTTCTTTTTCACTCCACTGGTTGCATCCTCCACAATAAGCTATAGCATGAAATATATTTGGTCTTAGTCGCATCATTTAGATGAAGCTTAGCAGGGTGAAGTGAGCGAACTGACCCACATGTGTAAGGAAATTAGAGATCTCAGAGCAGGAAGAAAAATATTTGGGTAAACCAGAGAAGCAAGACACCACTTAATTTTTTTTTTTTTTTTATGGGATATGATTTACTTATTCATTTGCTATCTATCTTGGTGATAAACCGATAATTTAGTCTGAGGACAGAAATGACTAGCAGTTGTTCCGGGCGTCCTCTGTTATATAGTAGGCTGTTACGCTTCATACGGTTACCCCTGTACTGAGCTGAGGAATACAAGTGTTTCAAGAAGACCACCAGTCTTTATTTGAAGGCCTTACAGAAGACACAGCTGGCTGCTTCCCTGCATTGTTTGTTCCTATGTTTTAATTCCCTCTCTCTTTTATTTTCTTCTTTCTTTTTTTTTTTTTTAATTTAAAATGCCCAACCTGTTGACAGCTACCAATTACTACATTTTTCCTTGGGATATTCTTTTGCCAGCTTTTCATCAGCAGAAACCTGGGTTCTGAATTTCATGCTCTGTGATCACACTTACTGTGGTTGAACAATGGCACTATATTAGTATACCTACTCTTCTGGGGTTTCCCTAGTATAGCAAGTCTTAATTATTAACATAAACTGCGCAGATGTTCTGAGAGAGGTTGACTGAGGAAGGATCCTTGGGAGTCCTTAGCTAGGCACCTAGGAATTGGCAAGCTCAATCATTTTCTGGTCTACATTGACTATAGACATGTATGGCATATGCAAACACATGCCTGTAGACGTCTAACTTTGGTGTCTTAATCTTGAACTGAATTCCTCTGTACGTAGCACAGATTGGACCAGCCATCCTGAACCACACTGAATATAACTACATCATTCTGATCACAGGCAATTCTGTATCTTCTTGTTTCTCATCTAGTGAATAATTCATCTTTAGGTGTCCTAAACATGCTTCTGTACTAAACTTCCTGCTGGGTGGAATAGTTTTACATTATTTTGTAAAAGCTTTGTTTTAACTTTCTAAGAATTTGTTCCTGTCTAGCTCCCAAATCAAAATGTCCCAGCGCAGAGCATTTTTCCACGTTCCAGAATGCATTTTAAGGACAGCCTAGTCTGTATTGTTGACTGTCTCACATTAAATTGCCTGTTCAATACCAAACAAACCATCCTCACTCCAGTTCTTACCGCCTGTTTGTCTGCTAGGGTTGCCCTTAGCTGCATTTGTCAAATGTGACAGTCCAAGAGGTTTTGCCAGTGCTTCTACCCTTGGCATTTTCTCCCTTAGAGCCATATCTGGAATGAAGGAACCATGATGTCTATTCTCTACCTTTTATGATGCTTAAAAAGGTTATCTGTTCTGGAAGTGTGAAAAGACATTCATTTCCTCTTCTTCCTCATTCTCTTCTGTCAGTTTGAAGAAGAGTTTTTGGAAACCTGAGAGCAGTATGAGAAGCTCCTGCAAGGTGAGTCCACACAAAACCGCAAGAAAAGTGTGAGCAGACTTTACTATATCTCAGAGGAGAGGTGTGAAGAGAAGACTTTGAAGACTGTATGGGGCTTACTTGCCACACAGCAGAGAGAGGAGTAAAACTGAGAGCTGCAAGCAGCTGCAGAGGCTGATTTTTTTCCCCATATGTGGACAGATGCAATTGAAAACATAATGTCTTTCCAACCTGGAGCATTTCCCAGGCCTCTGGGTTATTCTGTTTTCCATTTGTCTACATGTCCTACCTGGTCCCACAAACTTATGCCGGGCTTCAGTAACTTGCAAAAACTTACCCAAAAACTTCATTGAATGTCCTGATTTAGCTTAAGATACTGCTTGTAAGGGAGAAATTTGGGAATCTGACACTCGCTTCAAATGTGTTTTAAGTAACGGAACAGAACTGGTTTTATGTATTTAGAATTAGACACTTTTTACACAGTTGATATGTTCAGTGTGATTGTCTCCACTGTATTTCTTTGTCAGCACAAAAGCTGCTGTACACATCCCTGACTGCAGTTTCAGTGAAATTTTTTTAAAGCAAGGATGTTAATCCACAATAATTGTGTCCTGCAGTTTAATAAGTTATAATATAGTGACAACCCACAGCAAACTCACCATTAAAGTAATGATCTTCTGAAGACAGCAGGAGGACCTGAAGGAGAGAGCCCTGTACTGTTACAGTCCTACTCTTCTTGAATTTATTATAGTAGCTTAGATAAACCTAGAATTAATTGCATACTTGCACATCCAGAGAATGTGTGCCTCAGTGACACACAGCTTGCAGCGAGCCCAATGGGCCACGGTTAAATATAACCCAACTGATTTGTTCTAATTTGATTGTTTTTACCTAAAAGTATTTGAAGCAGGGGTTTACTGAGCTTTAGTAAAAGATTAATACAGCTCAACACAGGCATTTGAGAGGTGACTGCATGTAAATGTTGAACTACTTTTGTAAACAGAAAATTTTTGGAAAGCAATGGTTAGTTTTTAACTTTTGGCTGCAAAATAAGATGTGCCATTCACGTTACCTGTGATTGCATGATGTTCCACAGCATTGTAAAAGTGCATGGTTCAGGTCTTTGGGAGTTGGGAAAAGAACAGCTAAAAGCTGTTGAAAAGTTTCTGGTTTCATGTGAAACTAAATCCAGGTCTTGTTGTTGTAGCTGTGTGAAGGAAAAAAAACAAACCAAACGTGATTGGACTACCTCAATATGTAGCCTCTAAATGTCCATTTCCTGTTGTTTCTCAAAAGAAGGAAAACTAAGGTCAACTAGTAAAGCATCTAACTTTAATAGGTACTTTACAATAAACTGCCATTAAACGGTGCAAATGGTTGGAAGAATTGGCTGAAACAGGTTCAGGGAAGTAATAAAAAGAATGAATATTCAGATAGGACCCCCAGTCACAGCTTATCAGCTTCTTTGTGTTGTTGATAAGCCCTCGGTTCCTGTAGCTTGCATGCCTTGCATACCTCTTCCTTCAAAAGGAATTCTCTTCCTTTTAGAGTTTTAGATTTAGCCTGGAGCCTATTTCTGCTGTTTTACCAGCAAATGTAAAAGAAGTACATTTGTTGATTTGTTCTTGGGCAGGGGGAAAGGGGTGTTTCAAGGAAGGCTTCCTGTGATTAGCTCCAGGTTTAAGTACTTTGGATAGCTGGTCTTGGTACTATGTGGAAGTTCAATTTTGGAAGACCAGATAGATGCAGGCAAGAAGCTGGCATACATTAAGGCTTTCAGGAATATCTGATAGCTTCTTATTACACATTACATGTTTAATCCTTACAGAGGCTTTTTTGAGAAGCTGCTGCCTGACAAACACTGCAGTCAGTCTCATTACACAGCAGGAACTCAAATCTCTTGTGACATAGGATGGCTAGAAGACTTTGTTAGACTATTTTACCAAATATTTTATCCATTTTCTTGAGGACTTAATTTAAATTTGAGTCTTGTTTACAGTACAAAACCTGCTGTCAGAGCTCTGGAAAAATGGATAAAAAGAATGATCTGAAGAACTGCTGTACTAATAATTTAGCTAAGATGTGGAACCTGGTAGACTTCAGGTTTCCAACTCCGTTATTAATCTATTTGGCACCACTTGGACTTTGGATGAAACCCTGAAGGCGGGATACATCCAGGCGACTAAGCCTGTTGGGGATGAATCTTCTTGTGGTGCGGTGTATTTCTTTGGTGATTCTGAAGTGATCTGTAACACCAAAGTTAAACTTTTTTAACCTCTGTACAATCCTGTTTAATCCTGATCAATGAGGCAAGTGAAGTGCCAACAACACTACAAATATGAGTGAGACTCAGACTGTGACATATTTTTTTTTTTTAACTGCAAAAATAATTTTCATGAGGGGGGTGGGAAATTAGACTTTTACTATCACAACACAAATCTAAGAAAACTCTGCTTATGGAGGTGCCTTCTTATTTAAGTTTTTTTGTTTGTTTTGGTTTTAAGGATTGATATGTATGTTGGAGGAACCAATGACCTTATGGGCTTCATTCTGATGTTCCTATTCTTATCGACTGAGGATAAAGAGAAAAAACGTGCTGTTGTAGTTCAAAAGGCGACATGCAGGTATTTCCCAGCATATGAAAAGGTAGGTAGGAGGATCATTTCCCTCCATTGTTCTGGAAGGATAACAATGGGAACACTGGGTATTTTACCAAAAGCAGAAGAAACAGAAAGGAGTCAGCACAGTACTTTAAACCAGGATGGTCATACTGGCTCCAGGCTGGAGAGTTGAGAGGGAGGTCAGAGCAGTATGAGACAAGTTGGGGTAGGTTAAATGCAGAAATTCCTAAATAAGATTTCATGGTCTGAGTCACATCAACATTCAGACTGAAGGGTCCAGGTATCCCCTTTGGCTCAAAACTGTTAACGATCCAAACATACCTATATACAGTTAAAATAGCAACTTTCTGGTTTTAGGAGAAATGAAACTAGCTAGCATAGCAAAGGCAATGCAGTTTTAGAATAGATAATTGTTAGCTTTGTTTAACATTTTGAATACATTTACATGTTTTTTTAACCACAGTAATTCACAGCTATTGCTGCTGTCTTCCAGTCTGAGTGGTCTGCTGCTCAAGCCATACTGGAGTCTTGGTGTTTCTCTAACCGATCCTTAGAGAGATAGCACCCGTGAGGTGCTCTCAATGGAAATGAAGACATACAGACAGGATGATCTGACAGAAATAGCAGCTCTTTTGTTTTAAATACTAAAGGGAAGACAGTTTCCCACTTAAATACCCACACTATCTCCTACAGATGGCTGCCATAGTTAATTCTGCCCTAGATTCCACTTGTGGAATCCTAGCCCCAATGCTTTAGACTGATCACCTCTCTTTTACAGCTTCAATGGGAAAATAGAGAGTGTAACCGCATACAGAGGGGAGGGAGGGAGTGAATACCAAGGAGGTGTCTAACCCGGTAGTCCAGTGCGAGGGATTACCTAGGGCTATAGGAAGGACAGGTAAAGAGAAACCCTGAGATTCTAAACTGCTTCTGTAAGGACTGCTCATAGATATCCCGTAAAATGATCAGTGACTGCAGGCACTGGGCCCACATCCCCCACACCGGTACTATCCCTAGTTACATGGGAGAGAAAGGTGAAAAGAAGAGGGTAAAGTACGTATTGTCTAAGATGTGCCTGTGCATTTTGAAACATCAACCCCAGCTGGCTAGCCACATCTGGGCGTTTTCATTTGTGACACTTCTTGGTTTTGAAAGACCACGGGCAGGACTTTCTTGCTGGCAACAATTTTAGCTGCCCAGATGTTCATCTTCTTGAAGCCATTTTAATGGTAGAAGAAGTCGGAGGTGTTCTCAGCTTTCCTCAGTTACAGGTACCTTACACTAACAATACACTCATGGATGGAAATGTGATAAATGATATTTCAAGGTCTGTTATGTGTAGATGATTCCATAAAACAAGAGCATCTGCCACTCCTCTTTCACTGTAGTCTTGCTCTGCTTGCTTTAGGAAGAACTTCGCAATATATTTCATCTAGAAAATCTATTATTTTCTGGAGTAATTCCTGTACGGATCTGAAGAAATCCACCCTCCCTTTTTTTTCTCTCTCCTCACCAGTTCTGTGATACCTCCAAGCAGAAGATATTTGCTGGATCACAAGAAGTGATTTGAGTAAAGTACACATCTGAAACCATAGATAACTGTTTCCGCTTCGTGCCATATCAATACAAAACAGAGGGCTGTTTTATTACTGTTTAAAATAACAAGGTTGCGGTGGGGTGGGAGTAAAATTCATCCATGTCTAAAACTATATTTCTTGTCTTGCCTCCACATACAACTTGTTAAAGGACGTCACACAAGTCAGTTAAATTGTTTTTTCCTGTGTGTCTTTCTGTTCTTTAAATACCACATACTTGCTGTTTACCTTTTAGGCATTTAAAGAAAGGACAAGCAGCATCCCCACAATCAAGACATTTCTAGAGCCTGGAAGCCAGAGAAAACATGTTCCTGATGATAAATACATGGTCACTGTGAGGAGAGTTCTCTGCATGTATTATGATATAAAGCGAATTAGCATGCCTGGCTAAAACAACAGCTGTCCTCAGTTTAAGAAAGCCATCACATTGCACATGTACAACTGTACTGCAGAGGAAAGGTGAAGGGGTGGTCAAAAGGAGTTTCCCTGGGCAGTATCTTGTGTTCTCTCATACAAAATACAGTAGGCAAGTATCTTTTATAACACTTTACTACTAACCTTTCTTTTCCCTTCATTCTTCTTGAGAATTTTCTGGTAATTTTAAGCAAGTGAAATGGCAGCAAGCATGCTGTCTTCCTGGTGACTGGTGACTTTTTGGAAAAGCAAAAAAGAAAGAAATGCAAGTTGCTGACTGACAGCTTCAGCTCGTTCTGCTACTGAGGACTTCCTTCGGAGATCTGGATCAGATTTTTGTATGATGATTGCTTCCAGTTCGGGCCCTTACTGTTTTTAATACCACTGTCAAATGAAACACGTGACTTTTAAAGAATGTAGGAGAGAGGCGTTTCTCTTGCCAGTTCTGTTGGACACCAGTGACTTGTCTGGGATGTCAGCATTTTGCCTTTATAACTAAGCTGCACTTTAATTACTGAATTAGGAAAGAAATTGACTAACAAATGGCATTTTTGTGTAACTGCTGTATTTAGAGAATCTGTTCTAATCAAATAAACTTTTTATTTTTATGTGGTCATGTTGTGTCATGAATGAAATTTGGGGCTTGCAAACTTAATTTTTACTTTTCTTGGAGGATAAATTCTTTAGACTTGATATGAAGGGGATCCTTGTTAACCCATATGCCTCATGCAAAGTCATTTGCATTTATAAACCAGAGAAGGGAGATGTGAAGGAGAGGTAGTAAACCATAACACAAACCTGATATAGTTGCTATCTAAAGTCTAATACCTGCCAAACTCAAAATGTTATTTCTTTTCCTCTCTCTCTCCCTCTCTCTTTTTTAATCTATGGTTTCAGCAGATGATTTGACAAAGGAATTTCAAATGTTTTTAATCACTTTGATAAATGGCACTTATGCTTTGAAAAGCTGCTCTGTAGGGTGCTATCGTGGGGCTTTATGTCTGTTATTTATATTTCTATATTAATGATACAGTTTGCAAGAAAAGACTTGTGCTCAGTCCCTAATGGCATTGTTTAATTCCCATGTTAGCTATGGGTTGAGAAATAAGATGCTGCTTGACCTTGGAATCCAGTGAGTACACGCGTCTGATATTTGATGAATGAGTTGCCCACTTCAGAGCTCATCAATTTCCCCAGCTTTGGCACGACTGAAGTTCTCAGCACTACAGCTACTTTTCCCTCATTGCCAGCAATACAAGGTTTATATTGACCTACACTGGCTTATCTGCCACCTGCCTTCCTAATGTCAATTGCAATTACAGTGTAGTTCTTGGTTTAATCTCAGATTGGTTTAATAAGAATGTTTGGAAACCCTGTAGTTGTTGATCTTAGTTGCTTTGTTAAGTGAACTTTTTCTCCAGAATATGAGGCAAGTTGTGGTGTAGAGCTGTGCAAACAAACGTTCCACAAGCAAAGATGCAGGAGGTGACTGTCTGCCAGCACTTGTTGGTGATAAGCCTAATAGCCGATGGTCATGCCTTTTTGTAAACAGAGTGGCACAGTAGCAATGAACGTGAACAGAAGAGCAGTTGATACCAAAACCTTGTGATCAACACTGTATGCCTTTGGGGACAGGGTTACTTCAGCCTAGCTCAAGAATGGTTGTGTGGACTGAATGCCCCTTAGACTGCATTAGGTGCACTCTTGGAGCACACCTTCCAGTTCAATTTCATCCAGAAAGAATCCAGTTTGTACGCTCCAAGATCACACTGTGATTGGAGCCAAAGCACAGTTAAAAAAAATTAATTTTAAAAACATGCTCCTGTTCCAGACTGCTAGTGTAGACATACCCTGTAATGCTCTGGGTCTGGCCCAACTGATGGGTCAATTCCTGATATTTGAGTAAATCGTTGATGAGAACTTGTATTCCGTTCGGTTATTCTTTATTTATCTTCTTGATTTGGTTTGAGATGAAGACACCTAAATGTGTTTATATATGAGCAAGTGTGTACGTCTCCATATAACATCTACAGCCATTTTTGCTTATGCTCTCATTGCAGGGCTACATGGTGTGACAGTGTTGTGGGGTAACCCTCTCTAAGGATGTAGCGTTTCTTATTTGGATATTCCCACACAGGTCTGTCAGTTTAGTTTCCAGCCTGTACACAGAGACTATTATCGCAATCTTCCAGCTTCTGGGTAAACTAGGGAGGAAATAAGCTTAGATCAAAGTCTTTTGTAAAGGATCTTCATACTGAGTATCCTTGAGTCCTGGTACAGATCTCCAGCAGTAATTATTTAGGTTTTTAGCTGACTTTGCTAATGCTTTCAGACACATCAGAGCACTTCAGTTCTGTTGCCAGCGTTCAAGACAGTAGTAAGCAAAGAAGATATACAGATGTTTGTTGCCGTTTTTCTTATGTCTCTTGACATTGCTGGCCAAATAATTCCTGGCTCAAAATTTGTTAAGAACGCATGATAACCCCAGGTATAGTTTCACTTTTAATTGTCCCAAAGCACTTAGGTGTCAGACAGGCAGTTTTGATGTATTTTCCAAGAAGGACTTGGGTTTTTCTTCAACCCTTGATCTGGTAAGACCTATTTATGTACAAATCATCCTACAGCATCGTTCTGACAGCCAGGCAAAAGTTATGCTTAGCTGGAGTAAGGGCTGTGGTCCTACACAACCTGTTTTGGTTTTAAACACTCACTCTCAATGGAATTGCAAGCTCATTCCCATTGAAAGCATTGGGAAAATTCTCTTTGATTTAATAGTGAGTCCAGGACACAGGCTTTAGTACTAGTTACAGTTTCTGGTGACCGTATGGGATCTGTATAGATTAGTCTGCATTGTGTTTGCTTATGTTTTGGTAGGTTGCAGTAGATTCTAATGGAACTTCAGTATTTGGGTGAGCACCTCTGAAGGTGCAAAAGAAGTGCCAGTTCGTAGGGATTTTGCAGATGTCCTGCATGCTTCTTGGGGCACTTGCTCGTGCTTGAGTATAGCAACACTAACCAAAAAAAAAAGCAAGACGCCAAATTCGGGCAAAACTAGTCAGACCAACTGACAGGATGGTTCCTAATACTGCTTACAGCAGGCACTGGACAGGTTTTTCTATGCTTAGTAGAAAGATACAAAATCCTCTGCATGGGCTATAGTTTATTTCTGATGTCTTTACTGTGTTCCTTATTCTTAGTGAACAGTTCAGGCTGTGGTTTTACAACCAACAAAAGACAGGCCTCCCTCGTCTACATCATCTCCTTCCCTGCTTTTCTTGTCTTACTCTTTACAACATAAACTGAACCAGTTGAAAACTCCAGACTTTTTATTTTAAGGGTTATTTTTTTACTGGCTCAGACAATTAATCACACAGTCAGCTAGGTTGCTGATGCCAGCACAAGTTAGGCAGTAAGAAGAAGTGGCTGTGAGCCATGGAGGAGGTATGATCATTTTCTTAATCGCACTCTTTTCAGCTTAAGCATTTATAAAACTACTGCCAAAACGTACCAGATACATGAGCACAGCAATGAACATACTCTTACAAAATAACTTTTTGTAAGTGAGTTTCACTTAGTGACTCACTTTCCTGATCTCTGAGAGGATCGTCACTATGCTTCCTATACAATCCAGTTATTGCTATCACTGTACTTAGGCGCAGAAATGCATAATTTTAAAAAGATGTATTTTTAAGTATTTTTTGGTTTTAATTCTGTAACAATCACCTTTCAGCACCAAAACGTCTTTGTTCCTTTGTTTAACAGCAATGCCGTATCTCTGTCCCAGTGCTTAGGGGCATAGGAAAGGTGGCTTCAGCCTGAGGATTGTCTCTCCTGACTCACTTACCCTTTCCAGCTTGAAGGAGAATTTCTGGAAAGCAGAGACCAGTCTAGGAAGTTAGTGCAAGGTAAGATGTTTGACAGTCTTGAATGAGCTCTACCAGATTTTATTACCTTGGGTACTACCATGCAAACGAGTCTCCAGTCTTCCCAGCCTGAGGGAATATTAGCCCAAAATGATCAAAGGAGTGTGCATTTCGTGCTTAGGCTCAGGCTGCTAGCTGCCACCTTATTTTCCTTCTGTCAGTAGTTGAGGTGGGGTGACCTTGGCTGGCTGCCAGATGCCCGCCCAACTGCTCCCTCAGCTGCCCTTCCTCAACAGGACAGGAAGAGAAAGCAAGGTGAAAAAGCTTGTGGGTTGAGATAAAACCAGGGAGATTGCTTACAAACTACCATCATAGGCAAAATAGACTTGATTTGGGGAAAATTAATTTTAATTCTTTGCCAATTCATAGAGTTGGATGGTGAGAAACAAAGACAAAATCTTAAACACCTTCCTCCCACTCCTCTTCTTCTCAGGCTCAGTTTCCCTCCTTCATTCCCGACTCGTCTACCTCCTCCCCTCTTTCTCCCCTTGATGTTCACAGGGCTGTTTCTCACAGTTTTCCCCTCACACTCTGCCATGTTTTTTGCCCCTTTCTTCAATACATTTTCCCCGAGGCGCCACCACCGTGGCTGCAGGCTCAGCCGTGCCCTGGGGGGGGGGGGGTGGGGGCCGGGTGGGACCCGGT